TCCCTTATGGATGGAATAGGGAGACTGGGCCGTGACCAACGCTGGCCTAGTGCGGATTGGTGTGTGCTAACGACTGCAGATACAGTCGGGACCAACAGCTTAACGTGCCTTCTGAGGCACCGAGTTTTTGGTCACCGATCCAATAACCGACTATTGCAAAAGTTGCTTAACTTCCACGATCGCGGGCCGAATACTAAAGCTTCTATACCCACGTCTGGGTTCCGCTAATGTGTGGGACGTATGTATTGAAACTGGGTAACTTGGCCAATAGTTGTTAACTCGACGACACATTAGAAAGTACGCTCGTTTTGGGATTGTGAAGTAATGTATGGTAACGTTCGTGGGTACTGGGGGTTTTAATATGGCTTCTGCCTTTTCAAAAACTTGCAATGGTGGGTCACAGGATGGGTAACTGAAAATATATTGTTTTGAGCCGCCATTTTTCAGAGGGCACGTTTGCATTTGCAGCCCTTAATAATCACCAATTTGTACAGGGCCCTGGTGGGGGATCATGACCCATTATCTCTATTCATTGTGTAGTACAATGCACGCATGTGTTTTACCACTATTTATTTATTTATTTAATTAATTGATCATCACTCATGTATGGATTAGAGCTAATGGGTTATGATCCCTCACCAGTGCCCTGTACAAATAAGTGCTTTTTAAAGTCTGCAAGTTTGTAGTACTACAATGCACGCATGTGTTTTACCACTATTTATTTATTTATTTAATTGATTGCACATGTACAGTATAGGATCTTAAACAATAGGGTATTTGACAAGTTGTAGAAAACGCTCTCACGTTATTTACTAATGTTTATAGAGTCCATAAAAAGTGGATATTCATCATTATGTTGTGTATTTCTGTAAAAAACTCTATTTTCAAGTTACCGCGAAAAACGTATCTTTGGACAATATGGCGTCTCACTGGTGTGTGACGTCACACGACTGTCATTAAAACGTCAAACCATACAATCAAATGTCACTTTAACCGGAAGTTAACTTGCGTGTGACGTCATTTTAGGCTCCACCAATCTCAAGAGTTTTGGTTCACGTGACAATAGACAAGAAAACTATTATCTTTATCGTGGGTTTTTAGTAAAATTATGAATATCTTTTCTGTTAAAATAGTAAAAATCTTCTGCCAATATTCATTCTAAATACAGATGCTAACAAAAGGCACTTTAGTTTTAATACTGTCAAAAACCCTATTATTTTAGCATGGTACATGACCCTGTCAGGGTGTTGCAAGTATAATATTTATATCTAGACAGCTATTAAACAGTTTCATTTCAAAAGTTACTAGGCTACGAGCTACGACTACTGCTACGAGCTACAACTTTCCTTGCTACGAACAGCAGCTACGACAGTTTAACCAAACGTTACGAACCGTATTCGAAAAAAAAAATGTGTGTGTCAGCTCCGACGCACGACTGGAGTTTACTCCTTAAGTTCGATAGTCTAACCAGTCGCAAAAAGAGTTTATTTAACTTAAAAAAGATTGATACTGTATGAAAGGGTAAATTAACAAATTAATAAAAATAATATACGTATATAAATATATATTTATTCATTTCATATACATTTATTATAACTAATCGACGAAATATTTAACATTAAACTTTTTACAATAGTCAATTTCAGATGTGCATAAATATATTATTAGGAATGTAGATAAATTATGTAATTATTATTATCAGACTATTAGCATTTTTTTAAATATTAATTAAATCAACATTGTCTGCATTATTAATTACAGTGAGAAGTGGTTTATGGAAACTAAAATAAGACACATGGACGTTCGTAGATACGTAGTTCACGAATCTTGAAAATACCGCATCAATGGTTGTACCATACCTCGTTGTCCCCATTGCTCTATCAGAAACAATATCTAAATTAAGTTCAGATTTAAAAAAAATATTAATGTCAATGCGTCATCTTAGTTTGTCAAAGTTGCGCGACATAGGATGCGCACCAAAAACGTAACGAGGTCATTCATCGATAGATTTTACTCCTCACATTTTTCTCATACCGGGCCCCTTATATTATGCAAATCGATTCTTAAGGAGTAAACTTCAACAACTTCATTATCATTATCATCAACCCATTAATGTCCCCACTGCTAGGGCACAGGCCTCCCTTATGGATGGAATAGGGAGACTGGGCCGTGACCAACGCTGGCCTAGTGCGGATTGGTGTGTGCTAACGACTGCAGATACAGTCGGGACCAACAGCTTAACGTGCCTTCTGAGGCACCGAGGAAGTCGAGATACTAAGTTTTTGGTCACCGATCCAATAACCGGCTATTGCAAAAGTTGCTTAACTTCCACGATCGCGGGCCGAATACTAAAGCTTCTATACTCCACAACTATATAAAATCTTTATTTAGTTGTAAACTTCTTCTTATTTAGAGAGTGTGTAAATGCAATCGAAATCCGCTCATACAACGTAAACAACCTCCGTGGCCGAGTGGTTTGTACGCCGGGTTTCATGGTGTCGCCGACTCGAGAGGTCCCGGAGGTGGGTTCGAATCCCGGTGGGTTTGTGTGATGAATACTATATGTATTTCTATATAAATATACTTATATATGTACATTATATGTATTCTATCCGTTACCCTAGCATCCCATAACACAAGCCTTACAGTGCTTACTTTGGGGTTAGGCTAATTGGTATGAGTGTTGGAAATATTTATTATTATTATTACAATGCGAAGTCTATTGATGACAGCAATTATCTTCTGTGTATCTTTAAAATATAATGCTCCACTAAAAGCTGCATCGAAGCTTACAAGCAACATATTGCTTATTAAGCAACCGTCAGGCAAGTAAATAAGCCATAAACTCGCTTACTAAGTACGCACGTGTGCTTTTAGTTACTTAGCGTTAATGTTAACAATACACTTAAGTTGCTTTCGCGGTATGAACGAGGATCCTGGAGAGTTTATTACATTAGCTTGGTTTTAAAACACTTTATTAATTGAGCAACGCTTTCCATGTTATAATCTTTAATGTGATTATAATAAAATTCATTGGTATGTTATCATACCATTACATTTATCAATATAATATAGAGTTCATAAGTACTACAGCTAATGGTAAGCTATAAATTTTGATGAGTATTTTTTTGTTTAATAAAGTAAATTAAGTAAAGCTGTAACGTCTCTGTTACGAAATACTGGATAGCCGGAAAGTAATACACAATAATTAAATATACATATTTTAATTATATTTTTTTCATAATCCACGCGGTGACGGAGAAAGAATACTACTGACCGTCCCTTCTCTTCCCGTGGGTGTCGTAAGAAGCGACTAAGGGATATCGGAGCTTCCATCCGCTCTTCTGGTTGTAGGGTGCCTAACACCCGCCTGGTTTGTTACCACCGTGCGCATGGTGAAAAACCCGTGAAGTGCTTCTGGCGCGTTTCGGGGTCAGCTAGCGTACAACCAGACCTTGAGTGGGGGTTGTCGCGACGGATTCGGCCAAGGGGAGGCATCCGTCGAACCGATGCCGGGAGGACTGCATCGAGCCGCCGTCCAGGGAGTCCCAAAGAAACGGCTGTCCTACCCATGGCACAGTACAGGGGCCCGAGCGTTACTAACCAGTTCGCGAGGCTGCCCCATCATGTCACGCATAATCTCGTGGGATCACGGCGGCCACTCCAGGGGGGGGGGGGGGTGCGGGGGCCCTTCCATCCGGCGGGTCGGCACATCTCCTCTGCAGGCAGTCATTCGGGGAAGCACACCTCCATAATTTTCCGGGTCTTTACACCTCCATCACGACAGCCCCTAAAACAAAGTTTGGACGGACAGCGGTGAATCAATCGGCGGTTATCATTCGTATATAATAAAATAATAATATCGAAATGAGTTTCAGACGCAGTTTGACTTTGATTTAGGTATTTTAGTTGAAAATACATAGATTGATATTAATTGGTTTTTCTAATTTCTGACAAAGACTCCTGCTCTAATATATTGTGGTAACTACATGCAACTACGGAACCCTACACTGCGCAGGCTCGACAAGCACTTGGTCGGTTTTATTTGTAAGTGCAGTTGGACGCATTATATATACGTTTCTTTCGTGATTATTAAGTTTTTTTACATTTTATTACTTAAGTAGTGGCTCGCCCTCGCTTCGGTTCGGGGTGAAATTGATCAAAATCCTTTCTTAGCGGATGCCTACGTCATAACATCTACCTGCAAGCCAAATTTCAGCCCGATCCGTCCAGTGGTTTGGGCTGTGCGTTGATAGATTACTATGTCAGTCTTTGCCTGCCTTTGAAATTTATATATATAGATAGATATAAGCAAACTTCTTTGAAAGCCTCGAGGACACACGGAAATTCGGCCTCGAGAATTACCGTGCCTCGGGAACGAAAGTAATTCGAGGAATCAGAAACCCTTACAGTAAGTACCCTTTGTGCTCTGTACTTGCTTTTGATATTTTAAATGTTTCAATTTGATATAAAATCATTTTCAGTCTAGAAATAAAATTAAATAGGTAAGTAAGAACATTACTCAAATTAAATAGGTAAGTATGAACTACATTTTGAGGACAAGGGTTGTATGAAAGATTTTTTCGGAAATTTCATTCTGTATTTAGTAGATTATAAATAAAATAAGTATAAGACGTATCGATATTAATGGTATAGCCGAAAATAATTCCGAGGCAAAAGGTTTTTATTATTAACACACGTAGTTTTTCGCGAAAGTTAGTAATTTATGAAGAGTAAATATTTTTAACCGCTACGCATGCCCACGTTTACAACGATATAGCTACCTATAAAAATAAAAATCTGTACAGCCAAATTTGATTCTTTTTTTTATTTCTGGCCGAGCATGTAACGGGCACCTAATCGATTACACCCTGGGGTTGGCATACTGCGTTCCATTCTACTGCGAGTCAACCATCCGTCGGCTCGGCTGCAGCGAGCGGGCAAAAGGCTACGGGCTTACGTACCTGCGTTCCGTTACCCGCCGCCATTCGCGCCCAGACCGCCGACCGTGATGGGCGTTCTCCGGGACAGTACTACCGCGCACCCTGCCGAGCTCGAGCTCGAGCGCTACCGGCGACCGCACCTGTTGATCCTCGACGATTCCAGGGAAGCCCGCGCCGAAGGTCAGTGCTCCACGCAATTTGAATTTCGAAACCGGCACTCGATGTTTTTGTTTTTTTTTTTGTTATCGATGATACAAAAGAAAACTTGTGTGATGTATGGTTTTATTTATTTTCTATAAAGTTACGTAAAATAAAAAAAACCTATTTAAAAAAAAAATCACTGACGTACTTTCTTGAATCATCGAATAGAAGTGAATTTTCAAAATTATTTTTATTTTAAAATAATGGATTTAAAATTTCTTCCAAGGAAAGAGTAAAAAAAAAATTGAAAATGAATTGGATACATTACGGTGGTTTTATCTGTTTATTTCTACTATTTTAGCGTTAAGTGATAATTTTATCGACAAAAATGGTGAAATGTGTGAAATTTTGTAGATTTTTCGTGCTTAAATATTTGAATCGAAAGAAACAAATATAAAATAATCAGTCAATTTAAAGAAATATGCAGCTGCAAATACGGTTTGTAGTAAAAAAAAGTATACACCGTGCTACTGAATTTTTGAATCATTTGAAATAATTTAAAAAAAAATAATGGTTTATTTGGAGTAACAAAATAAAAAACTCGGAGTGTTATTTAATGTATGTTTTTGCAACAATGAAAGCAAGAGTATAAACTAGTTTTTTTAATTATATAGTATTAAAATCTTTACTTAAGCTCACAAGCTGTGAGAGAAAAAAAAAGAAATGTTTTTTTATAAACACGGACAAATCTTCTGTATATTACAGACACGTACAAAGAAAATTTGATTCATTCCAATAACAACTTCTTATTATCTCAAAATTACTGAATCTCGAGTTTCGTGTCGTTGTCTTCCCATTTTCATGGAAAAACAAATTAGGTTTGGTTTCCGGGACCACTATAATCTGGACATTTTCAAGGCCCGAGTGAACAGGCATCATCTAGCAAGGCGTGTACCATCCTAGGCCTCATCATCGCTTTGCATCAGGCGAGATTATGGTCAAACGCCCTGCCTATTAAGCATAGAAAAAAGACAATTAGATAGTGGTATTCCAGATAAATATTGGATTGCACCCAAATAATTATTGTGTTCCGACGGTAATTCTTGTGTTATGATTTTGATAAATTAATATTCACAGTGTTCTTTATAATATTTATAATACCCATTGCTGGTCTAGAACGAAAGAAAAAAAACACGATGCAAGTGAAACATTTTAATTGTTTTACAATTTTTTTCGGATCGCAGGTATTAAACTCGAAAGTTTCGAAAAATTAATCAAAATTGATGTTATTTCGGTTTATAAAAAGTGGGAAAATAAAAAAAGACTTTCTTCGGCTGGGAATTGAAACCAGGCCGCCCGCGTGGCTGGCGAGCATGTTAACACTAAACTACCGAAGCTTGTTAATAGAGTTTAATTTTTTTAACAACAATTAAAAATGTTATGCGACATGCTTACGATAACAGAAAAACAATGTGGTGATGAAAAAGATTCACTTTAAAAATGTCGTAGTCGCTAATCTTTCAATGCAGATTTTTTTCAATTAACATGAGGTGGGACAGAGTTATTTGCCTACCTTGCTATAAAAAAAATTAAAGATAGGCTTATTCTTTAAACGACCAACGCGTAGAAAAATTGTTGTGTAGTCAATATACTGGCGACCCATGCGCTATTGTTTCTGGAAAAAAAATATTTTCAGGTGAGATTGAAGTTAGGCGAGGATCTGGATGGTACAGTGGTTAGCCCCCTAGCCAGTCGATGATTGTGGATGTTAAATAACGTAATGCGATATGACATGCTAATGATGTACGAAGTACGAAAAAATTTGTGACGATATTATAAAAGTGTCAATTTAAAAATTCTACACATTTTTGTCGTTAGCGCACACCAATCCGCGTTGAACGCACGCTGTGGGTTTGGCCCAGGGTTGCCAGGTCTCTCGATTTTACAGGAGGCCTCCTGTTTTTCTGAAATGTCTCCTGTTTTTCGATGTCTCTAAATGAATCTTATGTTTTTCTTAGAATACGATTTTCTTTTTGAAATTGATTAAATATAAAAGAAAAAAATCCACGCGTGGATTTTTTTCTAGTAAACTTTTCTTTAGATTTAAACATCCAGCAGTTAAATGCTTAAAATATAAATATAATCATAACTATAATTGCTATTTCTTCTTTCAAATGTTTAATACTTGAAAAAGTATTCATTTGATATTGTTCGAATAAGCATTAAAAAATATGTTATACAATTAGTAGTTATAACATTTGCCACTAGATGGCGCTGTACCATTATGAATCGCGCTAAACTTTATGAATCGAACCATTATGAATCGCGCTAAACTTTCGCGTCAGTGTTGTAGATATAAGGAATTGGTAACAAATAAATCCTTCTTGTTTTCGCCTTGGACACAGTTTTGTCTTTTTTATTTCATCTACGTATTCAAAAGCTAAAAGCGCGAGAAACCCTTTTCATTTTTTATGTGGGAACTGTAAATGGTCCTTATCGAGTCGGAGTGGCTTAGTGGTTGTGTGTGTGTGCGATCATTATACATTATAAAGAAGAAACTAATAGTTGGCAGATGCAATAACGGCGAGATAATTGGATATTACAACAGCCAAAAGCAGGAAAGTGGTTTGATTTTTGCTATTTTTATGCATTTACATATGGTGCAAAAACTTTGTCAAATGTAAAAATATTGACGAAAGTTTCGTGAAATCATAACATTCTTCGTTTTAATCTACGTGTTTGCGTCGAATTTATAACTACGAGTTGAACTTCCATGCATATTTTCTCAACGTAATCGACCTGTGACTACCTACATCTGTTTTATCTGCGTGCTGTTTGAACGAAATTGGACATTCCCATCGACTTTTAATGAGTGTTTTTAAGTAGTAATTGAATTTTATGCCAAATTTACTGATGATTTATTGGTGTTAAGTAATCTATTGTTCTGTTGTTTATACATTTGTTTTTTATACATAGAAAATACAAAGTTCGTAAATGGAGTCGATGTTTAAGCTTCAATCGGATACTGCATCCAACATTTCTAAAGCAAAAATTAATTTTAAAAAGTCTCCTAAAGACCGTATAACTATGTCTTATGTAGAAGCGCGTCTTGAAATGTTAGAAAAACTGTGGGAATCGTTTTATACCACACATCGGAAAATTATAGAAGATGTTTCACAAAGTGAACTTAAAAGCTCCGTATATCAAAGTACAGATTTATATGCGGAGACCGAAGACTTTTACATCGATTACATATCCGAATTAAAAGAAATATTGCGTAAATTTAAGTTAAGTGACACAAATCTAAGTGTAAAATCAAAGAGTAACTCTGAAAATGTTTCTAATAATTTAAAGGTGCCTTAAATAACATTACCCATGTTTAGCGGAAAATATGTAGAATGGACAAGTTTCCGAGATTTGTTTATGTCTCTTATACACAATAATAAGTCATTAGACGACGTCCAAAAACTTCATTATTTGAAAAGCCATTTATCTGACGAAGCGGAGCAATTATTGCGCCATGTTCCCGTCACCAGTGACAATTATTCAATTTGTTGGTTAAAATTAGAAAATCGTTATTATAACAAAAAATATTTATCTAATTGCATTCTTTCACGTTTTATGAATCAAAAAATAATAAATGTCGAATCGTCTAGTGCTTTAAAGGAGTTATTGGATACTAGCAATGAATGTCTTAATGCTTTCAGACAATTAGGAGTAAATGTCAGCGAATGGGATGTTATTATAATATACATTTTAAGTTCAAAATTAGACTGTGAAACACGCAAGCAATGGGAAATAAAAATTAGTGAGTCTGTAGAGCCATTACCAACATGGAGTATATTTAAAGAATTTTTGGAACAGCGCTTTAGGGCACTGGAGTTTTTAGATACTAAGAGTTTAAAAAATAATAGTAATCGTAATGTACCACATAAAGTTAAAGTATTTCACGTCACTTCCAATGTGTGTCCATATTGCAATGATAATCACAAACTTTATTCTTGTAAAAAGTTTGCAAATGATGACGTCATTTCACGTCGTGACTTTGTCCAAAAGCAGAACATGTGCTTCAACTGCTTAGGTTCTCGTCATTCAGTAATCGCATGCCGTCAACCAACTAGATACCGCATTTGTAGAAGGAAGCATCATTCCTTATTGCACAATCCCAATATAGGTCAAAATGTAAAGGAAAACGTAGATGAACCACCTGCCGGTGCAGGAACTGTGTCCACAGTAACCATACCTCAGGGCGATACTGCTCAAGCTCTTACAAGTTGTTTCTCTAACATACACTCGCAAGTTTTATTAGCAACTGCCTTGGTAGATATCGAGTCCCGAACAAGCGCAAACATAACTTTTAGGTCAATGTTAGATCAGGGTTCTCAAGCTTCGTTTATAACGGAGTCTGCAGTCTAATTGCTAGGACTGCAAAAAATAGCAAGCAAAAGTTATGTTTCAGTGTTGGGAAGTGATACGACTCCATCGGTGGTCTCTAAGAATGTTGTTTACATTAAAATGCAATCACTTCTCAACCCTAGTTTTGTTATTCGGGTGAAAGCTCATGTTTTAAGCAAACTGACGAATCTTCTTCCAAGCAAGAAGGTTGCAGTTCAATTGTGGTCACAATTTGCACAATTGTCGTTAGCCGATCCAACCTTCGATACACCGCACAAGATAGATATGATACTCGGTGCTAAGGTTTACGGTCAAGTTTTACGTGAAGGTTTAGTAAAGTATCCCTCAAGTTACTTAATAGCTCAAAACACTTATCTTGGGTGGATAATATCTGGAGAAACAAAAGAAGCTGCTGGAGAGCCGATTCAATGCAACAATCTTATAGTGAATATGCATCTTCAATTGAATGAAAATGATTTACTGCGAAAGTTTTGGGAGATAGAATCGGATCCAGTATCTGTAACAACAAGAAAAATGTTAACGGAAGAGGAACAGATGTGCGAAGATATTTATGCAAGCACGACCAAAAGAGATGCTTTTGGTCATTATATTGTGAAACTTCCTTTTAAGGACAATAATTTTCA